CCACCACCACCACCATCTTTTTCTTCTTCATCTCAACCTCCACAATAAACCCCTGTCCTGAGCCATTTATTTACAGATGTTACTCTAGTTTTCTTTACATTGACTCTATCAATTTAGTCAGTATTACTTATCCAACTTTTACAGATGAGAAAATTTAGGCTCCCTTAAAGGTGAAGTAGTTTCCCTAATATCCAAATAGTAAGCATTAGAGCGGGGGTTCAAACCCAAGTTTAGTTAGTTTCAACTCCAAAAGGCATGCTTTTCAGCTTCATGCTCCCCAAATCCTGGTGATGAATGCAGCATTTGAGGTGTCAGTCACTTGAATGAGACCTTCTGAAAACAGCTGTGTATCTCTAAAGCCCAAAAGGAAAAAGCCTGACTCACTGTGCAGTAATAAGCTTCGAAATTAGATGAATGATAACAGCTTACCCAGTTTTTCTTTTTCTTCTTCTTGGAGTCAGCATCATTACCACTGCCAATGCTGGAATGGCTTGTGGCACTGTTGATGCTAGAAACACTTTCAGAGGAATGCTGTCTTCTGATGCGGAGATCTAGCAACAGATAAAGAGCAGCACATTTACTCGTAAACACTTTCAGTCTGAACAAACAAGCCTTTTAGCCTTTCTGAGAGGAAGTCCTCTAATAAAAGTCAACATGACTTTGTATGGATCATTTCACTGCAGCTTGGTTTTATAAGCTTAATAAAGTACAACCATATTTGCTTTAATTAACCAGGTTATCTGTATTAAGATTCAATGGGAATCTCAAATAAGTCTGTAGCACTGGTCTTTTAATGAATTCTGAGTTTTGTTCCAAAATGAAATGTTATGCTAGTGATTTTTGCTGAATACCTGAATCAAACAGCGCTTCCAAAATGATTTATTCCAAAGGATGTGTTCTGGGGAGTAAATGGAAACTCATAATGGCATGGGAATTAAATTGTGTCTTTTTAATATTTGTCCTTTGAATAAAGTCACCGAAACCAAATATATTAACTTTCCATTTCACAGAATCATACCATGTTAGAGCCAAAACAAACCTTGCAAGTCATCTAAGCAGCTCATCTCACAGATGGGGCAACTGAAATGCAAAGAAGTAACTTGACCAAGGTCAGGGAGCCAATGAGGCGAAGAGCCTCAAGAGAGAATCTGGGTAGAGTCTGCATTTGTGAATTAAACAGAAATCATATTTAAGACAGTACAGTTCTTCCATCATACCACTAATCCTGGCCCATGACTTGAAATAATAATAATAGTAACTAACAATAATAACAACAGGTAATAACAAAGCTAGCATTTACTGTGTGCTTACTCTGCTCCGGGAGTATCTAATTTTATTCTTAAAGCACTTAAATTCTAATTTTATTCTTATTACACTTAAATCAGTGTAATTACTAAATATAATTTCCCCACAGTCACACAGCTGAGAAACACGGGAACCAACTTGAGACTTAGACACATCCTCCTGTCCATTGCGCTAACTGCCAGGTAATATGGCCTTTCTCTACTCCTAAAAAGCATGCACTGCTTCTCTAGTTAATAAGATGCTTTGAACAGGATACCATTTGACAGAAATCACTTTGTGAAGATATTCACTCACTTCATATAATCAGCTTATAAGATTTATTTAGTTATTAAAATTAAAATTGAAATTATTTCTACTTACAGTGAACTGATCTTAAGTGTTAGTGGAGACACTAACAATTTATAAAATTATTTATAAGGTCAAATATGCTTTTAGACCATTTCTATTACTATATTTAATTGGCATCAATGTAGATTAGCCCAATAAAAGATCACAGTGGAACTTATAAGATGTCAGAAATTACTATATAGCTTTCAAAAAGCCTCCATTAAAAATAATGGTATATAATCAAAGGTTTCCAGTTGACTAATTTAACTGTAGAATGACTGATGGCAATGGAACACTAACTGGTGGCTTTCAAAACATACAATAAAAAAAGTGTATGCATGGGTGTGTAATATACACACATATATCTCCATCCTTAAACTCATATACGTACGTGTCAATAAGTCCTTTATTTTTTTCTATTAAAAGAATAACCATGCTGAAGAATGTTAATGAGGGGAAAAAAACCAGAGCTGTTTTTAAGAATCTCTAGAGTTTAGTCTAAAAGTAGTATTATTTTTTTAATGATGACAAAACAACATTTACTGTTTTTGCCTGCCAGAAACATTACCAGTGTCAAAACCTAAATCAAGGTGTTTTTGTGTGCTGTTTTGATTCAGTAGTAAGGAGGATGGTGCCCCTAAACAACTAACAGGAAAATGATACGAATAAGTAACAAAAGGATATGTGTAGGTATTTATTGTGTTTTAAATTTCTGCTACAGTTGGCTATAAGCTTTTCTGAACAAGATTAGTATTTGCTAGTTTTCCCTTAATAATTGAATTTTACAAATAGAGTAGATGTAGTAAGTGTTAAAGTATTTCAGAGTTTTTTTTTTTCACTATACTCAGAACTAGTAACTTATGTTTGACTTTGATTAATCCCAGATTTTAAAAAGATAGGTGAAGTCATCATCATAGGTCAAGAGCAGTTCTTGGAGGTATTAATTCAGTTAAACTATGACTGCTTTCCAATAACGATTGGCAAGGGCATAATTTCAATCATATCATCGAATGAAGGGAATGCATTTTACTTTTCTCTAACAATTCTTTTCTAGTTTTTGTAAGTATTTGGTTAAGTACATGCAGCATCACAGAGCTCAGGAAAGAATGGTTGACCAAATGAATATCAACAATCTGAATGAATGGAGAAGCATATTTAAATATATATCTATATTTCAGTTATATGTTTATTCATTTATTCATTTTTCACTTCCCACTCTTTGCACCACCACTGCTCCAATTCAAGCTGCCACCATCACCTACCTGCTCTAAGAAGGAACAGCTGTTCAATGCGCCTTCAAACCACTCTACAAAAAGTAGCTAGAGAAATCTTTTTAAAGAAAAAAATCTCAGCATCACCTCCTTCCTTAAGACCTTTCAACAGATTCCCATTTCAATATGAATAGAAAACTTTGCAACTCTTAAATATGGCCCGAGAACCCCTCAGTAATCTGGTCTTCTCTCTCCAACCTGGTTCTGCCTATTTCCTTTGGTCATTATCTTCCTTGTGTCAGTTCCATAAGGGCACTAATCTCCTTTCTGTTTCAAGACCCTCCTGGAATGCTCTTCTCTCAGTATTTGCAATATGGCTGGATAATTATTTCTTGGATCTCCCCTTACACATTGCTATCTGTAACGGCCTTTCTTGACTATGCAACTGCAATAGGTTCCCTGGTACCTCTGTCCTCTATGACACCTACTCTTATTCATTTTAGAACTTATAACTGCACTGATATGCAGATTCAGCTACACCACCAATCACAACAATTGTTTATTTCTGCTCTCCCTTAACAGTAAAGGTTTAATGGAGCCAAAGACTATGTCTAGTTCCTTTACCATGATGTAGTCAGGGAATTGTACATGTGGTAGATAATCAATAAGTCCTTATTGAATATATTATTATTATTCCTTCAATGCAATAGTGAGTTTTACTATTACAGAAACACAATCTGAATATCCAATATATATCCCAGCCTTTAAAACTATTTGTTTTTGTTAGTTTTAAATCTTGTAAAATTATTTTTTAAATCTTTCTTGACCAATTTGAATATTACGTGTTACCATTTTGTTCATTTGAGGCACCCTTCCCACATTTCCATGCACAGGAATTCCTATTTTTCAATCCCAGTAGCTGTATTAAGCCACCTGTTGCCAGAGATAAAAGGAATCTTTCCAGAAAGTTTTACTTCAGTGACTTGTACTGGGGTAAAGAAAGGATTAAGCCTTTTTAAATCCCTTCTGGACCTATTTACGACATGAAGATTTAGAACATAAGCTGCTTTATTATAGCTCTGAGATAAGCTTTAAATATGCGGTAATTTTCCATGCTGCATATAAATTAACTCCCCCACATGGAAAGTTGCTAAATTCTTAACAGAAGTAGCCCCTAGAGAACTAGTTTGTCCTTCGATTTCAGTATATCTCACTTTATGTAATTTTTTTCCTAAAATTTAAATTCAAGTTAAAAAATTTTTTTCCCTATAAAATTTGAATAAGCCCTTTTATGTGCAATGGCCACTAGGATTTAAAAAACAAACCAAATTACCACCAACCAGGAAAGGTGGCCTTTAAATAAATTAAGGCACTTTTCATAAAAGTATAATGCAAATTTTGATGGGGGAGTATAGTTATTTCCAGAAACATATCACAAGAGGACCTCACTTTGTTTTAAGAGTCAAGGAAGCATATTTAGGCTAACTCTTGCAAGATCTTAAAAAGTGTTTATGCTGAACAAACAGGGTAGATAGTTCCAAGGAGAATAAAGATTCTAAAGAATTGGAAGACATTCTGGCACGTAATTGCTAATTGATAAATACTTGTTGAATGAATGAGGGTGGAGAAGAGAGATTATGTCATGTTAAGGAGTTAGTATTTCATTTAAAGGAAAGGGGAAACCTGTCAGACACATGCTGTTAGACACCTGCTCTGGTCTTAGTGTGAAGAATGGTACAAAGAGGTGAAAGATGAAGAGCAGGAATGTTATTTACGAGTCTGTGGCCACAGTTCATGGGAGAGATGAGGGATAGTGATAGCAGGATCAGAGAAAAGGGAACGAGAGCTATTTCAGGGGTTGAATCAACAGAACTTGGTGATTTATTGGGTGAGGAGCAGAGGATTTCTGGCAATATGGAAGAATGGTGATGCCATTTACTAAGGCAGAGCAGGTCTGAGAAGGAAGATGATGAGTTCAAATTTGGAGATGTTGAGTTTCAGGTGACAAACAGACATCCAAAGATAACTGGGTGGAGGTCCCTCTTCAGCAGCTGGATAGACAGATCTTTAACTCAAGAGATGAGCCTGGTCTGCAGAGATATATTTTACAGTTATCAACAAATAAGTAATAATTATAGCTAGAGTACAGATTTTTAGATAGGGTGAAGAGAATCATAATGCATAAACTCATAATGGAAGAGAGCTTACGACCAGGTTCTAAGAAATATCAACATTTAACAAGTGCATACATATGACTGAACCTACAAGAGGAACTTTGAAAGAGATTTCAAAGGAGCAGAAGAGAAACTAAGAAAGTGGATGTCATGAGCATGAAAAGAAGTGAAAGTTTCAAGTAGGATGGAATGGACATCAGTATTAAATGCTATCTCCATGACACATACAATAAGAGTTTTAAATGGTTAACTGCATTTAGGGTCCTATAAGTCAATACTGATGCGGGAGAGAACAGTTTTGGTGGCGTGGTGGGAAGAGGAACCACACCCTATCGGTCTGAAGTGTGACTGGCTGTTGAAGACACTGAAAGAGTCGATAAAGCTTTCCCAAAATTCAGCTGGAAATGAGAAGAGAGAAGGTAGAGCATTCAAGATTTAGGAGAGCATTTTTCAGCAGGGAAAGAGTTGAGCTACCAAAAAGAGTTAGAGCAAGAATAAGTAGAACCAATGTAAAGAGAAAAATGACATGACATTATCACAGAGTATTTCTTCAGTAGCAAACTAAGGTGTGGGGTGGTGGCAGAGAAGATTATTTTATCATTGTTTAGAATCACTGAAGCCTAGTCATAACAAAAAAAAACACGCCAACTTTTAGTCCGCTGTCTTCCTGTTTTTAAGTCCCCTGCAAGAAATCTGTCTTTTTACTGTCCCCACCCAGGACGAGTTGCTCCCAATACCCATTACATTACCATATGGATTATTTTATTTTTGTATCTAGGTCTAGATTTTCATAGTCCTTGCTGGGTTTGTTTTGTTTCAAGTCAGATATGAATGTATTAACCGACCTCCCCATACCCACCTTCACCAAATCAAATGCAGAGAAACATTGTACAATCACAGAAGCAAATTCCTTCAGATCAGTTTAAAAATTATTTGATACTGAAAGCTACTACTGAAAGCTATCGTTCTTAAATTCTAGGATTCTGACTGCATCAACACCAACTTACTTGGTACTTACTCATAAAAGGCAGTGCCACTGAGTAAAAGCAGCTTTGCTCTAATTAATAAATACAACAGATGTTCATAATACTGGATGAGAAATGGCAATATTTCTAAATGTACCTTTGGGAGGGTGGTCTGGACCGTTCAGTGCCCCTTGAATGGCCGCCTGGGCAGCTGAGTTCTGGGCCTTGAGCATTTCAATGGTTTCCCTTAGTTCTATCAGTTCAGATTCCTGTGAAACAAACACAATTTAGAAGCTTTAATACCTAGAGAGAAAAGCACAATGTTCTTACTCCTAGTTCACCGTCAGATGAGTTTGATTTTATGGAGTGCTCACATCCCTGGGAGATTTGGATGCTTGGCTGACCTTTTAAGTTGTATCTTACAACTTCTTACTTGTAAATGTAAGAAGCTAAATGTAATGGAGAATTTTAAAAAGATGTCTTGGTTAGTCTGTTATAAACATGATCTGAATTGCTTTTATTCCTTTAAAAGGGTAGTACCCAAGGCTGACCAGTACAACCTAAAGCAAGATACCACACTGCTCACTTTATATACCAAACTTACGAATACTATCTAGAGGTTATACTACACAGTTAAATGCCAGCACTGTGCTGGTACATCCTATTGCATTTATTGTTCACTGGAAACCCTCAGTTTTTGTCAGATGAGTGATTTCAGATTTTATCTCATTTATTTTCCACTTGGGGAATAGGTTCTTTGTATTCAAATATAAAACCAACCTGGAACTCATTTCTAACTCACTCCTATTAAATGTCACATTATTAAATTCTGCTGGCACATCAAGGTCATCAATCTCAAGTTCTAGTACTTATTTTTTTTTTCCAGTAAAATACCCTTTATTAAGACCCAGTTTCACCGAGTCAGAGAATACAGGCATTTTTTTCAAGTGAATAGAAATGTATGTAATATGTAGTCTTTAAGACTAGTTAAATTATTTTTGAAAGTTCACAAATCAAATTTTTATAAAAACATCTATTTTCTTATTGAATTTAGGGTAATTTTAAGATGTGTCTCAGTGAAAAATTCTTGTATAAATCTGATCTTCCAGAGTAATTTAAGTGAGTATTTTTACCAGAAGTAGAGAACTCACTATGAGGGAGATAAAATAACAACAGAAAGGAACTGGAGTGCTGTTTCAGCAGAAGCAATATTTCCAAGATCAAAAACAAGGAGTGTCCTTCTCGGCAGTGATAGCAATCCTACAAGTTAGAATCCTTGTCAGCCTCTTAGGGGAGAATTCCCCAGTAATGTAACTTGTCACTCATCATTTTCTCCACCATCTTTGGCAGAAAGCTGAAGAACCAAGCTTGGGTTCTTCATTCCATGGTAAGTAGTTGATGCCTGCGCCATGTCTCCCAGAATATAGGAAAAAAGGCAGGGTTATGACAACTCTCTGAGCGAGCCACTTCATACATGGGAATGTCCAATGACTATTCTAACCTTAGACACTTTTTTTTTTTTTAAAAAAACAGAGAGATGGTGCTAATTGAAATGATATCCAAGTCTGGAATAGGTACCCGGCATCTCATTTATCTATTTTTGTTGGGTATCTAACATATTCCTGGTAGAGGACAGTTAACTATTAAAAAAAAAAAACCCTCTTATAGACTTTTGATAGCTCATAAGTCAAAGAATCTCATAATGGAAAATCAAGTGTGACCTCCTGTTTTCATACATTGATCTTCAAATGCTTGACTGCAATTTCATTTGCATCTATTTATCATGAAGGAAAAAAAGTACATGGTGTTGGAAAACTGTCAATATCATGACATAAAATTCTGGCACAATTCCTCATAATTTCTCAGTTTCTGCAAGTTCTAGCTATAGTCCATCCCTTGCTCAACCAGTAACAGGTAAGTTTACCAAAAATTAATATACTTTCTATTTAAAATAAATCTCCCCAGTGATAAAATTCATTCTGCTTTTACCAGAAATTTACTCACAAAAGGATACCTATAGTGCATACTTAATGAATCATATAATTTAAGTAGTAATTTCACAATATATAGACTAGGATGAAAGCTAAAGTTTAAAGTCTGATTTTTCACCCTTGAATTTAAAATCAATAGATCTTGTACTATAGATGAAAAATCTGCTAAAAAACTTGATTTTAGGTTTAAAGAGGAAAAATGAAAATAAAATCTCATGCAAATGGCTAAAAATTTAGTTTAATTTTACGGGTTAGCTGACTTATGTCATGTCAAAACTTTATTCTTTTTTGCAGAAATCTTTTCTAGAAACTGTTTTAAAAAACTAGAAGTGAAATGTTCAGGTAATATTGATTTTTTTCTGAAAATTGTATTTAACATGAAACAGAAGGTGATCACTTTCTAAAATTAAGCATCATTTTAAAAACAACAGATACTACCAGGGTGGTTGTTACTCTGTGTGGCACAGTGAACCCAAAGGAAGAAAAACTAGGTAAGAAATATATTCATTATACAATGTGGGAAAAATCACATCTATGACAAATTAGTCTACACAGATTCATATTAGTATTTCTTTAGGAGGTTTTTGTAAGTATAAAATCTTATATCTTAATCTTTTGCAAGCACCTATAAAGTATTCTACAGTCTTTAAAAAGATAGTTAAACTTCTGTTGATGATCTGTTTAAACTTGAACTAGTTATCTCTTCATATCTGCAAAATTCTCTTCCTTTTTTCTTACTTCAGTTAATAAGATCTACCCTCACCATCACTCAAACTAGAACCATGTCTTTCTCTGTCTTTTAATATGATGTCCCCCTTGGCTTTGAATGTCCTGCCTCACCCTTAAGGGCCATGGTGAAATGTCTCTATACATGTGACACCTCTGAGTTTTCCTTTCAGGGAAAATGAAAAGGTCCCTCCTTGGTGTTCCCAGACCATCCAATACATTCACCTTATTCAGTTGTTGAAGAGTTTATCTTTTCACTTGATTTATGATTTCAGTAAATGTTGGGATGATTGTCTCCAAATCTTTTGGCCTATGATAAACAAGTGTTTTTCCCCTTCTAAGAATAATGTAAAACTTCAACTCTACTACATATTTTAACAAGAGGGGGTCTGATTACTTAGAGTGTTATATACTAAAATTGTCAATAACTTTATTATGCATTATAAACCCAAAGTCTCAGTATGGCTAAATCAGTGGAATCATTTCCTTTGCATGGCAACAAAGTGGGTTTTCCTTTCTCTCTTTTCCAACAGTGTATAGACATGAATATAAAGCCTTTTAAAATGAAAACTTGACTGAGACCATAGAACTTTTTCATATTTTATTTCTAGTCTTTTTCCCCCTTCATAATTACAGTTGGTTGTTCACATTTATTTTATTTTTTAAGCTATGTATTTTCTAAGATGCCTATAATACATGAAAATTGCAATGCTGCCTCCAAGTACAGCTGCAGATTCCCTTTTTTTGGCTATAGTGGAGAGTGTGAATCAGAAAAACAATGAAAGTGAGTTCCAGAGACAGCCAATTATAAAATGGTTTGATAATCTGAAATATTTTCACATAGCCTTTTTATTTTAAAGATGATCTAAGATACTTAAGTTTTGAGAATCCCTATGACACCTGCAGAAAGAATCTGAAACATGTACATGCCATCAAGAATTTGCAGTCTATTCCTTTAATTCAGTAGTTTTCAGTTTCCTATTCTCATTAGGTACCAAAGAGAAGACTGAGGCTGGAATAATTCTGAAAAGGGTCTTGGGAATAAGTCGATCAGGTAATATTTTGTTGATATTTCTCATTTTTCAAAAATGATACATTAAAACTTGGGAAATGAACTAAAATTTCATTTGCCTAGAATGAGCCCTTCAAGGTAATGATGCCCAAACACAGGCTGGCCATGGAAATGTCCAGGGTTCTGTAACAGTGTCTTGCCTAAAAGAAGCTGGATGGAGTCAAGATCTCTTCTAACTCTTTTGTACAAGTCTCTGAGGCTAAACAAGTGATCAAGGTCAGGCTTGAAATGCTTCAAAATAAAATGATCAAATATTGTGTCCTAATACTAGCATTGCTTGGTGTTTTTTCCAACCTAATATCCTATCTACATCTGACCTCTTTTCCAGTTTCTCCTGGACACAGGTCTTGTTGAGAATCCCACAGTTTGGCACCAAATCTCATCAACTAACTTAATTTTCCAGGCAAGGTTCTTAAAATGTTTCCACTGAACCTGTCTTTTGCTTCCCCACATTGACACAGTTACTCTCTCATTATCTAGCTGTAGTTTCCTTGAACACATCCTTCTTCCTATCCCTCTGCATGTATCTCAAAATCTTGTAAGTTTTTCTACTGAAAGGACCTGGCCAGCTCTAGTTCTAACCAAATACACTGAATTTATCAAATCCCCAGAGCATAAGTAACTTAAGTCTGTAACTTAACGGGTTCAAATTATCCCATGCCCTAAAAGGCTAATGAATGCATTTTCTGAGTCTAGTGATCAATTTTTAAAAACACTTCTAGATGATAAATATTTTAACCTGAACCAGGAAGAGTGAATTTAAAGACCCAATTCAACTAAATGTTTAGCTTCTACGTGATCTATTTCCGGAGAGTTGGCTTTGAAACTTCTCAGCCTTAATGTTTAAGTTTCTATTCATCTAGGCATCCAAAAAAGTAGTTTCACGGAGGTAAGAATGAACAAACCCTTGACTTTATAGTAAGCATCAGGGTCAATATCTGAGCTCCACCACTCAGACAAAAAAGATACTCTCTGCTCTGATCTTCTAACAAGACTAACCTAGCATTCCTTCATATACGTTCTAATTGCCTTTAGTAGGACAACTATGAGGAATTGATTTGAAAGTCAGTGAGGACAGCTTTAATTACTTTGCAAGGATTTAGCAGTAGTTCTATAAAAATTTCGTTTATAAAGATACAGATTTTTAGAATTCTTGCCATTTTGATGACCTTTATTGCAGCCTTTCTCATCTGGCAATCTATAAGAAAATAAAACCTTGAACAATGATCTGAGTGACAATTTTTTTTTCAATTCTGACAAAGATGGTACATAGCCAGTACTACTCAAGATGTAGTGAAAAAAGAAATTATTTCCTTACATAGAATTGATGCTTCAGGGCATTAGGTCTTAAGAATCTTGGTGGAGAAGAGCTAGTAAAGGGACAAGGACGTGAAATCCAGGTAGAATTCTTGATCAAACTATGACACTAAGACACTCTGTTGAGCCTTAGGCAGAGGGCAATACCTGGGAATAATGTCACCCTCCGGGCAGCATTACTGACAACTATCTTAATTACTCCTACTTATAGACTTACAATTATATAACATGTGGTCTTTTGGCAGGTATTGGGAATGCTGTTAAACGATGGGGAAATACTGCTAGATTGATCTTCATTAACTAATTTTTATCATGCTAGTCGAGTATCAAAAACCTTTGAATGGCTCCTTGTTTCCAAAGACCAGATTCTTTAGACATCTTTCAAGCCTTAGTTCCACATTTCCTTCCACATTCCTTCTTTTTCCCCATCGTCTCCCATCATTTCCTGCCTTGCTGCTCACGCTCATGGTGTTTCTTCCTCTACAACATATACGACTCCATTTCCCCCGAATTAATGTCCTCCATCCTCCCAGAGCCCGGGGAGGCTCCTCTGTGCCACCTCTCTAAAACGAGTATGAAGATGCGGTGGTTCTCTGTGAGAACACTCAGGATACTGTTCTGTTATATTTCTAATTGTAGCCCAAATGTTCTTTCGGCCTCCTTAGTTATTCATATGCGTTTCTTCTTCTTTTTTTTTTTTTAACCTGGCTACAAGTATATAAAAGCAATGTTTTGGCTCATACATTTAGCAAGAAAATCAGCATGACTTGGCATCTAGAAATGAGAAAAAAAATTAGAACGCTATTTAAGGGAGTGATTTTGGTCCACAAATCATACAAAAGCTTTGATACAGTTTTCAGGCTATTAATGCCATAGGACTGTTGAAAAATCACACGTTGAAGCAGGAGACTTGGATTTGAGTCCGAGTTCAGTTTATCTATTTCTCAAGTCGGTAACCAAGCCCATGTAACCACCTTCGCTTTTGGTTCTTCACGTGTTAGCGACCTAACTTGCTTCCTAACGTCCTCATTCTCAGCTTTAAGTTCTTCAGTGGCGCTTATCTTCACATGAAATCCTATATGTTTTAATTGTATTTTTACCAGAGTCTGTCACCCATTAGAATATAAACTCTATTTTATATTATAATTAGTTATAAAGTAGGATGTGTGTACTGTGTGTGTGTGTGTGTGTGTGTGTGTGTGTGTGTATTTCACTGCTGAATTCTCAGGAGCTACAACAGTACCTTATTCACAAAAGACAGTCAATGTAGCTCTGGCGACTGACTAAATGGAGCAATGAACCTTGGAATTCCAGAACAGTTTCAAAATCTCTGCTCTAAATTCTCTTTCTTCCCAGGATTGTTGGATCACCAGAGAGCAATACGCCCTTTTATCTCAGCTCCCTGAAGAAATGACTTTACTGAAATATGATTAAATGTTATGCCCTCAGCTTTTAGAGAAATGTCTATTTGAACAGTGATTTTGTCTTTTTTTTTCATTCTATGACCTCAATTTAAGAAACTCTACAATAAATTTATCCTTGAATTCAGTGCCCGTAACTTTGTCTTTTCAATCTAAGTTACGCTCTTCTGTTCAGAAAATGAGAGCTAAATATACTAAGCAATCTCTGTTTGTGTCTCAACTTCCTAGACATGAATTCTGGTCAGTGCTCTGAGGCAGTAATTACCCAGGCTCAAGCATCTTGTTCTAGATACTGGTTTTCACTAGACTCCGTCATTGAATTGTGCCATGTAACTCAATAAACTATATAATATTCTTAAAACCACTTTGGAAAGAGGCACGTTATAAATCTCAGATAATAAAATAAACTACACATTGTTAAATAGCTGATAAAATAAACATTGTTAATAAAATATGTTAAAACAATGTTAATAAAATATAATGCTAATGTCATTGTTATAAAAATCAATGTTAATAAAACAGAATAAACATGGTTGTGTGTGTTTATAGCTTTCAATCAAAAGAGCAATCATTCTGTTTTCAGTAGTAAATGGCAAAGGGCAATTGCAGACATCATGAGACCTGAAAAAACTTTATAATCTCGGCCATACTACTTCAAGGATAATGTGCAAATAATAAGACAATTCTTTCTATTAAGGAGGTGTATTTAACATATTCAGCGATTACGCGTAGGTATTATACATTAACAAGTGTATATTTCCAATTTCCATGAGAAATTTTGCCTACAAATATAAAAGAGTTGAAGGAAATAGGGAGGGGCGATACATATTAATTTTGACATCTTAAAGAAATGGAGACTTCAATGCTACCTGTGATTACAGTAATATGCAGCATGTGGCCAATGATGAATTTGGTTCAGGTCACATTTTTTAAGCGACAAAAGGAGAGAAATGTAAAGAAGGCAATATTTGTTGATTATCCACTACATGTGACATAGGACAGTATCTCACTTATTCATCATAATGATTCTACAAGGTCGTTATTGTAACTCCCACTTCTCAAATGACAAAGCTGAGGGTTAGGAAGGGAGATTCCAAAGCTCTTGAGAGACCTCACTGAGATTCAAACTCAAGGCTATCAGACTCCAACATTTATATTCTTTTTGAATTGGCTGCCCTAAAAAAGGCCTTGTATTCTTATTTGCTGAATTCTTATGTTACATAGTGCAATGGTAAACTGTATGCCCTCAAAAGATTAAGATAAAATGTATGTGCTCAAAAGGAGTTTATCCCCCCTTTCAGAACAGGTTTGACGGGGAAGGACAGTGTTTGCTTACATGGGTCCGAGAGGGGTATGAAATAGGAGAATGAGAGATAAGGGCGCACAGAATACAGTCTTCTAATTATACAGGCAATTAGAGGGATATGCAATTTTCTCTTTTGGTTTAATTGGACTGTTCCGTCTTTTTTTAACTGTAAAAAAATGATAAGCTGACAAAACTCGGGAAAGCAGGCTGGTTCTTTAACTTCACTGCCATACTTCACAGAACTAAAGCCCAAACTGAAGCCTTCCCTAAGGGTATATATACTGATTCTGCAATCATCCAAAACTTCCTAGATTATGGATCTCTTTGAAAATTAGATGAACACTGTGGACATCTGCTCCTATTATGCACATATGCCATTTCTTACAAATATTTCCACCCCATTTTAGAGACTTCCTCTGTCTCTGACACTCATCCAAGAACTCAGGTTAGGGCCACCAAACTAATGGTAGGGAGGTAAGTTGCTGGTCATCATATGGAAAGCGTCCAGATTCTTGCCAGGCAGCGTGGACCTTTTTGATATTTCTGCCTTTGTGAGCCAAATTCTCTGTTTCTTTCTTTTAAGTATTCCTTCCTCCACTCCATAAAAATCCATCAGGTTGGACTGTCCCTTGTCCCATGGACACTGTAACCTAAGGCCCTTTACTTCATAGATCCCCAGCCTCTGTTCCAGGCCTTCTCCATGAGTACCTTGGACCACAGCCACGGTCTATAAATGGGCTTACAGACCATGGATTTGTGAAAAATCTTGTCAGAGTGCAATCCTTGTCAACTGTGTAACAAATTCTTCCTATGACAGGCTAATGCCTCTCCTGTACCACTGCTTCTCTTTTGTAACATTTGGTCTTCTTTTAATAGTTTCAGTCAGAAGTAAAATAATACACTGCCTAGCAAGAACTTGTGTGTGTGCGTGCCAGCATGAGTTAATCTAAATTACGTCTTTAAATTAAAATCTGAAAAGAAAAGGTATTATCTCATCGTTGTCCCAGTTTACTGTAGAGTAGATCCTGAGTATTATTTCTAAGGAGCTGGGCTCCTTAAACATCCTTGAGCATTGTTTAAACATCCTATCCAGCCTGCTGTCTTACTGCAGGCCCCAGTGGCAACTCGTGAACATACCTTCTGTTCCGCTGTCATGGTCAGACTTTGCAGTCGGCCAGTCATATTCCCTAAACTCTTTTCAAAAGCTGCTACGAGGTGAGCCTGTGAACAAAATGGAAGGAACATGTCTTAAGTGTCAGAACCTTATGCAGATGGATGAAAACCCTTCATTTCAGAAAAAAATTCTGTTTCAGTACTATGACCATCATGGTTAGTTTCCAATGATGACTTAACACACATTTTCATCTATTATTTTTAAACTTTCCCTTAAAAAAGATCACTGCTTCAGTCTCTTGACATTTAATGTGAGTTCCACTTCTGGAAGGGAATTGTATTTTGCAAATATTAACACCTTCTAACTTGCTCATCATGGAGGATTTGACACTCAAAAAACTGAACAAAGTTCTGCGTTGCCAAGTTTTTTGACTCAAAGCCCAAGAGGAGGTCACTGCAATAGTTCAATGGATGAATGTTCCTCATTTTTATACCTGCACGGTGACCTTTGAAGATATTGTTAGCTCCTCTATGGAAAGGAAGCTCTCCTTCAAGTGCCATCTGCTGACAGCTATAACAGCATCTTCCCTCTTTTTCTACTTGCAAAGAATTGGAACGAAAAGAGTTGTCTTCACTTTCCAAACTCTTTTCAATAAAAAGGCTTTTATTTCTACTCTATTCCCTTCAACTAAGGACGTGTTGGTAGGCCAGCTAGAAATAATATTCACTTATATCTTATTTAAGTCTTTGTGGCTTTGGGGTTTTATTTTACATCTCAGAGAATTATACATATTGCTGTACATCACCCTAACTCTAATGATTAAGAAGTATTTGACAATCTTATTATGGCTCTAAAACAGGCCAGTTACTATTGATACACCATTATGCAACAGCTTGATCCGCAGAGTATTAAGCATGAAAAAATGCTTCGATCTCGCACTGTGGCTTGAGATAGAACTCCAGGTGTATAATCTCAACGTGATCTAATATTACTGCACACTTAAAAGGATATGAGTATAGAATATTCTACAACCTATATCTATAATAAACTATGTGTGGGAGGGAAATCTGGCAATCCTTGGCAAAAGATGAATTTTTTGAGGGAAGGAAGGGAGTAAGAGGACTCGCTATTCATCGCTTTGTGACTCTAGCGGAGCTGAAAAGCTGAGGCACCTATTATCAAATGGATCACAGGAGTCCTAAGAGTTGGGGCACTGGAAGTTTATTCCATTATTGGCAACAGCTAGAATGTACAAGTCCCTTCCATTAGCATCATGATACAAAGGCGTCTTTGTTCCTAGCTCTGAGCTGATCCCGGGATGCCTTTCTCCCCCTGACGCTGCAATACAGAGAAAGACGTTTTGTGGAGAATGCTATTCATCGTCAGTCCATCAGTACAACTCTATTCTTTCCCCACTCCCTCCTCTGTCCTTCCCTCTTCCCCTCTCATAAACACTCACATACAAACAATCTTGAGAACTATTCTCAAAGGTTTGTTAGCAGATTTAATTGGACAAATAACACTCTTAAAAAAAATAACAGTATCATATAGTTGAAAATGTTTTCAGTGACAAGGAATGTCACTACATCAGACTTAGTACCTTCAGAAATGAGCATAAGGTTAGGTGCCAATCTGTCTTATATTAACCTTCCCACTGTTAAAAGTGAACGAAATGAAAATGCACAGCTCACTGGTTTCTCATCGTGAACATTCATGCACTACCCCCGCCAAGTCAAGAAATAGGACATTTCTAGACCCTGGAAGTCCTCCCCTGCCCCTTCCTCACTACTGTCGCCTCTCCCTTCCCTGAAGAGAACCACTGCGGTGACCTGGGGGTTAGCTATTTTCTTGCTTCTCTTTATAGTTGGGTCACTTAAGCTTTCATTTCTAGACACTGTGTTTTAGCTTGGCCTGTTTTTAAAACTATCCAAGTGGAATCGCATCGCATGATTTTTTGTGTCGTTTTGCTTAACAGTGTGTTTTGAGATTCACTCATGGGGTGTGTAGCAGGGGTTAGATTTTGCTGTAAAGCACTGCTCTACATGATTTATAATCGATTTGCCCATTTGTAACTGATTCCAGTTTAGACTATTAAACATAATCCTGCTATGACTTTACAAAGCTAAAATTGCTTGTTTTCTTTTAAAATAGAAAAACTTTGCTAATATTCACTGAAAAAAAATGAGAGTCTACACAATGTGGCAAAGTTTTAATTCTCCCAAATAACTATAAAGCTAATTTGTTGGATAATGAGTCCTTGAAGGTATAAACTTAGAGGCAATTACTTCATTTTACCATCTGTACATATTTTATCAGTTTAATAGGAGTTGAAATATGACAAAGAAAGCAGAACTGTGAAGAAAATGTTGTAGCTATTGAGTAAATACAAACTATTCACCATTAGAATGTCAGTTTCCAATCTTTGGAAAATTGCTCTTTATTAATTATTCACAAGAACATGTAACTGATTACAAAAGAGAACATTTAAATTTGAGTCACATTGTTCTCAATGGAAAGTTATGTTAGTGAAATGCTGCTTTAAGTCTACGTCCCCTTGGCTTAGTTTAATCATACTAGCTTTGTTACTCTGAAGGTAAGAAACAATTAAATTTCTCACCAACTGGACTAATGGAAAAGGAGTACAAGAAGCAAATAAAGGAAGGCATTTCTATCAGTGAAAATCTCTGTCACCTCACTGGAGAGAAAATGGAATGTAAAACTAAGTAAAACTATAGGAAAATATATCTTGTTTGTAAAACCTTATAAAATGATGACTTTTTGAAAAATCATGGGTTTTTCACAGGGATTGTTAATCATAGTTTAACTTGGTTCTGACTTTTTTCTTAGCAGTTGCATAATTTTCAAGCCAGAAATTGTATCAGCAGGTTGATGAATATTCCCTCCTTGTGCTGGGTGAAGTCTGCAAAGGTAATGAAATAGACAAGACAGGATACTAATTAAAGGAACGTATTTGTAATACATAATGTCTTTAGTTTTAGAATCACATAACATAATCTGCAAGGACATGTAAAGAAAATTATTGTGGTACTAAACAATATGATGGAATATCATTATGAAAAATGCCTGCATTCCATTGGTTCATTCAGAAGTCAGTGACAGTCCGTCAATCAAATAACAAAACCTCGATATAGAGATTTAGATGGGGACATAGCTAGTTAGATAGATAAAGAGATGACTTTACATTTGAAAATTAACAGATGAAATGAAAATGACTCTGAAACGATCATAAATAAGATTTCATATTTTACTGTATACAATTGCCTCTTCAATGTTTTCATTGTTAATTATGTGCAAAATTGTTTTTTTCTTAAAGGAGATACAGAAAAACAAGAGTAAACTTCCAGGTTATATAAAAATATTAAATACAGCAAAGGAGTAGGACACAATCCCAAGCAAATGACACTTGAGAGATTTTTGGTTAAAAGACTTATGTGCTTAAAGGCAACCCCCCCCCAAAAACAAAACATAACAAAAAACCAGAAACTTTTGTTTCATTACAAATTCATTCAGTGATGTCTCTGAAATTTGAAAACTGGTAGTAATAACTAGCCTTAGTGCCCATTTCTGGATTATCTGATGGCTGAGACTCATAAGGAAATATATTAAGACACAAACAAATGCATCCCCCTGGCCTGGCTGCATGCAGCTGTGGGCAAGAGGCCAGAGGGCACCTGGCTGGCTGTCTTATGTGACTGTACATCCACTGTTGCCTTGGCTGGTGGGGCTCCTGTTTTCTTCCTGTCGGTGGGGTATAGACTCGAAGTCCAGGCAATAGCCCTTGCCAACATGCCCTCTCTCCTTTCTACACACATCCTAGTGGAAACAGCTCTACAAAGAGGCTTCCCAGGGCTTTCCACCGATCTGCTCAGACAACTTCACAAGCAGCAGGGAAGGCCCAGTGCCCATTCTACTGAATGGAGGTTATGCTCTGCCAGTCAGATGAAAGGTGAGCTGACTGAATACCTTCCTGACTTACCAATGCCCCTTTTAACAAAGGGGAAAAAAAGCATTTTAGTAGAGAGGCAGATGTTTCAAATTTAAATATTAAAATGCAGATTATTATTGTGTGGGCTCCATATAAATATAATCATGACAGGTCCAAACACAAGACACATCAATTAAAAAAAAAATCCCCAAACAAGGAAAACCATTTAAGTCCTAATAGAATTATTAATATACTGAGTAAAAATGAATAGCTGGATCTTAATATGATTACTAAATAAAAATAATAAGTTAATATTTTCTCTAAAACCAAACCAAATCAATAAAGTCAGAAATGAAAAAGAAGTTACAACTAGCATGACAGAAATACAAATGATCATAAGAGACTGCTATGAACAACTATACCAATAAAATAGACAACTTAGAAGAAATGGACAAATTCTTAGAAACGTACCATCTCACAAGACTGAACCAGAACGAAACAGAAGATGTGAACAGACCAACTACCGATAATGAAATTAGATCAGTAATTTAAAAACTCCCAACAAACAGAAGTTCAGGACCAGATGGCTTTACAGGTGAATTCTATCAAACATTCAAAGAGTTAATACTATCCTCCTCAAACTATTCCAAAAACTGCAGAGGAAGGAAGATTTCCAAACTCATTCTATGAGGCCAGCATCACTCTGATACAAAAATCAGACAAAGATACCACAAAAAAAGAGAAAACTATAGGTCAATATCACTCATGAACATAATGTAAAAATCTTCAACAAAATACTAGCAAACTAACTCCAACAATACATTAAAAGCATCAGATATACACCACGATCAAGTGGGATTTATCCCAAGGATGCAAGGATTTTTCAATATCTGCAAATCAATCAATGTGATACACCGCATTTACAAATTAAAGAATAAAAGCCATATGATCATCTCAATAGATGTAGAAAAAGCTTTTGATAAAGTTAATATCCATTTATGATAAAAATGCTCCAGGAAGTGGGCATAGCAGGAACATACCTGAACATAATAAAGGCCATATATGACAAACCCATAGCTAACATCATACTCAATGGTGAAAAGCATTTCCAGTAACATCAGGAATAAGACAAGGATGTCCACTCTTGCTAATTTTATTCAACATAGACTTGGAAGTCCTAGCCATAGCAATGAGAGAATAAAAAGAAATAAAAGGAATCCAGATTGGAAAGGAAGAAGTAAAAATGCCACTGTTTGCAGATGACATTATAGCATACATAGAAAACTCTAAAGACGCCACCAGAAAATTATTAGAGCTCATCGTGAATTTGGTAAAGCTGCAGGATACAAAATTGAGACATAGAAATTTGTTGCCTTTCTATACAGTAAAAATGAACTATCAGAAAGAGAAAATGAAACAATCCCATTTACCATTGCATTGAAAAGAATAAAATACTTAGGAACAAACCTATCTAAGGAGGTTAAAGACTTGTACTTGGAAAATTATAGGACACTGATGGAAGAAATTGAAGAAGACACAAACAGATGGAAAGATATAGCATGTTCTTGGGTTGGAAGAATTAATGTTGTTAAAATGACCATGTTACTCAAGGCAGTCTACAGATTTAGTGCAATCCCTATCAAATTACCATTGACAGTTTTTTGCAGAAATAGAACAAATAATTTTAAAATTTATATG